TTAGGGTCACTTTTAGGGCCCTTTTTTTAAAGGGGTGCCGTACTATAGTTGGGACCTACAGAGGAACTACCCAAATGTTGATTATAGGGGACTTCGGGCTTAGACCAGGATGCTGCATCGTAAAACTGCCATTCTCGGACGTGGAAAACAGTGGCCATGTAGTTGACGCGGGCTGCTGCCTCGTTTCAATTCAAGGGCTCTTGCACTTGTTCTTGGGTGTGCTTAACTGGGCTGTCTGTGGGGTCTACATAAGGCCCCCTGTACGGAATACAGGTTGCCGTAAAGGATTTAGAGATACCATGGTGACGATGATCATGACGACGTCACGAGGATGATCCGCCATCCTCGTGGCTGCCCACGTCGTCACCGTCATCATCAGCATCATCATCGTCACCATCACTATCACCATCACCCTGACCATCACCATCATCACGATCTCACTCATCATCACCGTCGTCATGACACGGAAGCTGCCTGCGTATATGCGTCCTATGACGGCGGTGGTGGGGATCATGGCACAACGGGTTCAGACACAAACCTCCTCGTCGGTGATGCCGTCGTAGACGGTCAGAAATCCATACCTCGCCAGGTCGCGGCATGACATGAGAGCCTTAATGATTCGAAAAGGGTTTTGGGAAGTTTTTTAAGTGTAGCAAGGAATCCTACTGTGAGGAATACTGTTTAGGCTTTTATACCAGGGTTTTGGCCTCCTCTTTCCCAATAATACTCATACTCACGCAGTCACCGACCCTTACATCGTCCGTCGGCTTCCGCATAACCCACTATCGCCGGCTCAGGGTTGGCTCCCAGCTCTCCGCTCCCCAGAGTTGACCCCCTAGATTCAAGGAATCCTAAATAGGTTGGCCCTTTAGAGCCTTCGAAACATGCTCGTAAATAAGATCCCCTTAGGCCCAATAAACGAAAATATAGAATATCCCCAAGAGCCTCAAGGCCTTCCTAGTAAACCGTATCTACGCCCCAACAAAACTAAAACCGAGACCCCACATGCCTCGATTTTTTGGGGAGCCCCCCATGCCTCGATAACCTGGTTACATTGGTGCCTGAGGCTTTCGGATGGAAGGCCAACAGCGGCGGCAGGATGAATGTCTGTAAGAGGGGTGCGACTGCAGAAACACGCAATCTCCCAACTCCGGATTCTTCGGGTTGGGGCTGAAGGGTTTAGGGCCGAAGAGCTCTCCGCGCAGGCCGCTCATCGCGCCCAGGACCTACTCCCACCCAGGGCTACGGCTGCATGGCGGCCCTCCGTTGCCATGGAGGCACCTGGGAGCCTTGAGCCACGACTTACCAGGGGCGACGGCTTGAATCTGCGTGGCGGATTCGGTGTGGTTTAGGGGTTGGGGTTTAGGGTTTATAGGGTTTGGGGTTTACAGGGTTTAGGGTTTAGGGTGCGTTGACGAAGCGAGAACAAAAAACAAAAAGGGCTTTGGATTCCAGGCTATGGATGTATAGGGGGCTACTCGGGCTACTCTGCTTTCAACCTTAAGCGCCGTTGTTCGGCTTCTGCTTCCTAAACCTTATTAAATCCCGAAACCCCAGATCCTGAACCCGACGCCCCAAGTCCTAAAGCCTAAATCCCAAATCCTGGGCTCTAAACCAAAAACCCTAAGCCCCCCACCTCAAAGGAATTAAATAATAGTCAGTTCTAGTATACCTTAAATGTATTATAGTATATTATAGTACATCACAGTATATTATAGTATAATCATAGTATATCATAGTAACCTCTATTACCTTATCGAAGCACTTCGACTCTGTGCGCTTCTAGCGCTCAGACCGCAGAGGCTCCAAACCCTAAACCCTATAACCCTAAACCCTAAATCCTATAAACCCTGAACCCTAAACCCTAAACCCTAAACCCTAAACCGTAAACCCTAAACCCTAAACCCTAAACCGTAAACCCTAAACCCTAAACCCTGAACCCTAAACCCTAAAGCCTCAGATCGCAGGGGCTCCTGGGTGGCAGGCCGGGACCTTCATGCGCTCGTGGAGGATGGGACACCTCGGAATCGGGCCCAGGGTTGTAGGGCTTGGGGCTTATAGGGTTTAGGGTGTAGGGTGTAGGGTTTAGGGTTCAGGGTTTAGGGTGTAGGGTTCAGGGTTTAGGGCTTATAGGGTTTGTAGGGTTTAGGGTTCAGGGTTTATAGGGTTTGTAGGGCTTGTAGGGTTTAGGGTTCAGGTGTTAGGGCTTATAGGGGTTTTAGGGTTTAGTATGTAGGATTTCATACAGGAGCCGCAGTTACTGGAACAAACCGTTTTCTTGAAGAAAGGCTGTATTTATGCCTAACTACAAGGAAACCTTGGACATGATAGTTCTACAACCCTAAACCCAAACCCTAAACCCTAAACCCTTTTTATGTTTGGGTTTACCAGCTTGAAGACTCGGGTTCAGAGGTTTGACACTGCTCTAAGGGGCCTCTAGGGTCTATTTAGGTGTTTCCGAAAATACGGGACCCTAATATAGTACCCTAAATAGTAGGATCCTTATTAATTAGTATAAGTGGTGTTGGTGGTGTTGGTGGTGATGGCGGTGATGGTGGTGGTGGTGGTGGTGGTGGTGGTGGTGGTGGTGGTGGTGGTGGTGGTGGTATCTGCAGCATCGGCACCAACAGCAACTTTAACACCAATACAAACAACAACTGCTAATCAGTCATAGCAGCTCGTCTAAACTACAAAGCCTACGTAGCAGGCTTTGGGTTAATTTTTTGGGGTTTAGGGGTTAGGGGTTTAGGGCTTCAAAAGGAACCAGAGAACATCATATGGGGATTTGGGCGTCTATCATATGACTACATTCAGCACTAGAGTGACCAGAGGGGAATAATACTACTACTAAGTGGGTAATAGCAATATTAGCAATATTGCACAAGCCTAACCGCCAGGCTTCTCTGCATTATTGCGAATATTATTATTACGGTTTTACTCATGCTACTCTTATTACCATGACTAGTATTGTTGCTATTATTCTTAATTAGTTGATCGTATAGCTACTTAATGGATTAATAATTCTATTCGTGCTTATGTTTTTCGTTATTACCATCAGTTTCAGACCCTGAACCCCGTAAACCCTAAACCCTAAACCCTAAACCCTACAAACCCTAAGCCTTATTCAAGCCCCCGGCATGAAGTCGGGGTTTCCGAAAATAGGGGACCCTAATATGGTACCCTAAATACTAGGATCCTTAT